TGCAGCCCTTTTCCTCACCAATGACTCTGCCTTTTGCCTTTGCCATCAGCATACATGCAAACAGGTATAAACGCAGCATTGACAGAATACGTAATGCAGTATGAAATTAATCCAATTGTGAAACTTCTAGCCACATGATTTTTCCAAGCAGGACGATCCGTTTCAAAACTCACATGAAACTGGAGGATACCAAGACTAAGTAGATGAAAAAAACTGAGATATTCTACTGATGAGATATACTGCAACAGTACGCAATAAGCAAAGTCATAGATGTTGCTGAAATTGGAATAGGAAGACTTGACTGTGACTTTAAAAGCACATTTTAGATCTTTAGTAGAATACGGTTGCTAAAAATTGCATTGTTACATTGATAAGCTTAACACTTATTACTAATTATCATATACTTCTTACAGTAGCAGGAATTCTAGATAAGCATATGAAGTACTTTCAAATTTAGACTGCTAGTATTCTAATTACAATCAGTTTCAGCTTCTGTATGCTGGACACATTAAACTGAAGTTGGATTTTGGTCTCTTATTGCTGTGCAAAGACCACTTCTCAAATTGATCAGATTCATGTGAGTGAACACCGAGATTCCCTCAAACCTATAAATGAATCAAAACATCAAGGAAATTAACTTAATCTCTTCTGTAAGCTCTGAAGCAAAGTTTTAAAAGGTGAAAAATAAATATCAAATGTTTGGGAATACTTAGGATCCTTATAATAGCTTAATCCTAAAAGGTGCTGCACATCTCCTAGAAAAACATTAAGTACTCAGAATTCCTATTTGAGGGACACACAATTGTGTAGAACTTGAGCATCTAGTATTCAGATTATTGACACCTGGTTTCCATCGCTGAAGAGCTGAAAAAAATATTGTAACTAATAAGAACTAAAGCATTAGGAATAAAAGCAAATTAAATGCCCCCCTAAAGAGGGAGCTCCTACTTTAAACTTGCTTTAGCCCATTTGTATTTAACCAGACCACAGTCAGCAGGTCATGTTCCATGACATACCTGAGAGGTCTTCGAGAGCAGGCTGTCCAGTTTTGACATACAGAGCAGAATCCATGCTGACCCCTCCTGTGCCGGCCTCGGCCGTTACGTTCCCTTCATTGTCTGTCTGCGATCTGGAAGGCAAAGCAAAATAGAGATGTGCAGTCACTCTCCATCAAAAGTACCTCAAGTATAACAACTAGACAACTGCACTCGCCATCAGCCACTCTGTCCCTCTCTCCAGAACAGACCAGCAGACTGATTTTACATAATTCATTAGTCCCATGTTGAATTATGTCCTAGAAATGGAAACAAGCACTCAGCTGTAAAAAATAAAAAATTCATAGTCAAAGATAGGCTTCTCAGCTCTTCAGACAGGGTCTTAAGACACTCGGATTTCCAGCTAAATTTTCATCATCAACAACTTCGGTTGTTGTGGCTAATCTGATCCTCTCTAATAAAGTCTGTATTGCATGAATATAAAGCAGGTAGTGCATGATGGCATGTTGCACTGCTGCTAGCTTCCCTTCAATAACTAGCAATGTCACTCATCTGTATCTTAAAATAAATGACTGAGTAAAACCAACTTCAAACTCCAATTTCTTGTCTGACATTGTGGCTGTCAGGTAATGAAAGGTGATGTCGTAAGAATCTATTGTCAGATTTGAGAAACATATCTTGACTCATTTCATTTCACTAGTTGCACTGTTTTGCTTGTAGAGCCACATCAACAAGCGGCTGCAAATTCTCCTGTCCAAAGGGCACGTGCTGTACAAACGTGAAGACACAGCAGGGAATTACTGTTGCAACATTCTTAATTTCAGTTGACCTTATATGAAATGTAGAACAATTTCTCATGTCTTTTACTTTAAAAAACAAAGAAACAAACAAAAAGTAAGTCTACAGGCAGCTGAAAAGTTTATATTAAAGTAACCTTAACTGATAGCAGAAAAAGCCTGAGACGACTACTGCAATGCATTAACAAGTGCATTTTGCAGATTCAAAAAGTGTCTGGATAGCAAATTTATAATAATGCTATATGTTTGCCTTGCAAATCAATACAATTTGACTTTTCTCTTGCCCTTAAAAGCCAGCAACATTACACAGTTTGGCCTTTATTCCTCCAAGGCTGAAAAGTAAACATGATTTTTTCAATTTCTCAGCATTTTCTCCAGCTGACAATAGGTAGCTTCATTACTGTTTTTTGTAAAAAGTCAAATAAATACTGCCTACAGTTTATCAGTATGTTTAAATTATAGAAAACATATGGATTGCATCTGCTTTTACACTTTAGTTTGAACATAGATATCATCACCTAAGATGAACACCAAGCAGAGTGCTTTTTACTTTATCTTTTGACAGGACATTGTAGTGATAAACTTAACCCAAAGCATCATGAACACATTTTTGGTTGTGAGAGATAAACAATAAAGCAATCAGTTTGCAATCACAATTTGCTATTTAATTATGGATTAAAATAGTACAAACTGCACTGGCACTTTTTAACTCAAAACAAATCCCCCAAAATTACTAGTAGTAGATCCCACCTTCAGCCAAAGATGCAGCAATAATGCTGATGTACGCAGATGAATGCAAGAGCAAGGAAAATCAAGAACACGTGCTATTAATACTAGTTTTAGTCAGATGAATTTTTCCCAACTGGTTCCTTTTCATGGGACCGCATCCCAGGCGGACACCTGGCATTTTATTCCATACACACAGGGAGAACACTCAAGGGGTCAGAAGACTCAAGGGTCACCCTTCCCATTTTGCATTCCTACATAGGCCTTTGGTATCCCTCTCCTTCAGGTTCATTCCATTCACATTCACTTGTATTTAAAAATATGTGGCCAACCATTTCTTATGCTACATCTACCAAGAGATCAAAGGCAAAAATGCGTATAGTAGAACTGAAAAAATGATGGGAAAGGGTGACAAAGATGACCAAAGGTTATGAACAGCATCTCTACAAGTAAAAACTAAACAGGCTAGGACATCTTAGCCTAGAAAAGACACATCTTAAGGGAGGGAAGGATATAATGGAGGTCTCTCAAACCATGAGCAGCAAGAGGAGGATGAAGACAGAACAACTGCTTTCATTCTCTTCCTATGAAAGAATAAAGTGGTGTCAAAGAAAACTACGAGATGGCTGTCAAAACCAAAAATCCCACCACCTGATTGAGGAATTTCGTGCATCATGGTCAGGCTGAGGAGCATATCCTTCGGAAGCTTTGTTATAGATTTCCCTCTTGTTACTCTTCCCTACATATCCTCTACTGCCATCGTGAAACAGAAGATGCTTGACTAGATGGAGGTTAGTTGTGACCCCATATGGCTGCTCTTTTGCTTACCTCATTCAGCATTAATGCACAGAACAGCAGACTTTGGCCTGGCCTTACCTAAGGGATTTTTATTTTATTTTTTTAAGATTTCCCATTACTGCTTATAAGTGAGGCAGCTCCACCACTGCTAGCCACACTGAAGAGAATGAGTGCTTCTATGTCATAAATTGATGTTGCTACAACTTTCAAAGCTATGGTACATAAAACAAACCTAATCCACACAGTACAAAAACATGTAAGAGCGGTACCTGGTCAAGAAGGCGTTAGTATTCTTAACTGTTAGTAGGGTTGGATACAACAATTATTCACCCTCCTATCTGTCACAACTTCTTATACACCTTAGTCTGACGGCCTTCACCAACAGTTTCTGTGTAGATGTATAAATTGTCTACTCTCTTAAAGCAAGAAACTTTCACATGACATGGCATTCATCTTGCTGTGTCACCCCCCTGAAAGAGCATCCAGAATGAATCTTCCCAAGCATCACATTCAAAATGGTCCATTGGAGAAGCTCACCATACCTGTACATGAAGGGAGCTACGGTGGCAGTGTTCGGGTGGCTGTATTGCTGTTGGGGATGAGGTAGCTGAACACTCACAGTATTGCTCCCTGTGGTGTGTGTCGTCGCGGTGGGTCCATTGACAGCTTGGCTGCTGCTGCTGCTGTTGAGGCCTCCTACGCCTTTTCCTTCTGAAGAAGCTAGGCTGGACGAGGAGCTGGAATGCCTGCTGTCCAGCTGAGACTTCTGATGAGAGAGCCCTGAGCCGGCTTTCCCGCTGCGGCTTCTCTCACCTTCCTTTGCAGGAACGGGGGCACTTGAGGATTTCCCTGTGGTGTTTTTCATTCCTGGTTTTGGTATTCCACTGTGCGAAGGGGCAGAGGCCTCCTTCTTGGCACTATTCAGCTTTCCTCCTTTAGGGATAAAGCTTGCGATCTTGGAGGACTTTTTTGGCATCTCTGTTGTTGCTAGTGCTGTCTGTTCTTCTTTTGGTTCCTCTTTCACGTCCAGCTTTTCAGTGACAGATGTTCTCTTTGCAATGTCTTTACTTCTATCCTTCTCTTTCTCTTTCTGTTTCTCTTTATCCTTCTCATTACCCTTTGGAGAGCTTTTCTTATTAGTTAGTGCCCGGCTAAAAGTCCTTTGTGCAATTCCCTTCAGTGCAATTTTGGGACTACTGGACATCGACCCCGGATTGTTCACATTCTGATTCGCGGCATCAATTTCTTCGCTTTCCTCAAAGCTGAGGAGCGTCTCCAGCTTTTCACAACTGTTGTCCCGAGACCCTGGACACTCGAGCGTTGTCCCTCCTGCTTTGGAGCCTCCTTTGCTATTGAAGAGTTTTAATTTTTCAAGCATGGATTTTTGACCGTTGGGAGTTGTTTTGGCGATTTCCGACGGTGGCTTTGGAGGCTCTGATACGGGTTGCTTTACGGATAACATGGAAGACGTAGCTGTGTGCTTAGCACTAAGGGACTTGCTGCGCCAAGGTTTAATAGCAGAGCTGGGCTGAGGGATGGCTGATGAGTTATTGCAACTAACGGTACTGCTGCAGCTTTGAACTGAGGATGAAACATTTTCATTCATTCCTGTGGGCTGGGAGGCTGTACTGTCTGCAGGCTCTGGAAAAAAAACAAAAAACAACCCAAAAAACCAACATGGTAGTACCTGATATTATAGCTAGTCTGAGATTCTTTCTGTAATGAAACATCAGCAACTTTACACTAATAACATTAAAAAGATAGACGCATATCACTATTTTCAACATCAGTATCACTTAAAGAAAATAAAAGCCAGTTTTCTTTTCCTACCCAGCAGAACAGCAACGAGGTCCTACTATGTAATTTACATTTACTTGCTGTTTCAAGAAAAAGAAAAAAGAAGAATCTCCTCCAATTCAAACCAAAATGTGTTTTGCAATGTGTTCTCCCTTATTAAGTTCATAATACTTTTTCATTAGCAAAAACACAGCACTATTTTCTAACTAAGGGTTCCCTCTGCTTTTGGCAAAATATTTGCTGTCCAAGTTCGATTCTTAGAAAAACCTCAAACATATAAAAAAAAAAATGCAAGAGTAAGGAGAAAATTAAAACTGGAGTCTTTTCAGTTGGGGGGGGGGGGGGGGGGGAAACATATATACGAAAAATAGAAAAAAAAACCACATGGCAGCTATGTATCTATAACAGAGAAATGAGGAAAAAGCTTGAAATAACCTTTCATGAAGAATCAAAAAAGTGCAAGCTGAAATATTATGCTTAACTCCCTAAATTGTGCAATGACTTCCTCAGAAACTGCACAGCATTGCCTTCTTAATTATGAGATACTACAATACTGAGATCTATTCTTTTACAGGTAAAAAAAAAAAAGAAAAAGAAAGGGGAAAATAAAAACGGGGGTCTTTTGCGTGGGGGGGGGGGGGGATGAGAACTTCATATGCAAAATGTAGAAGAAAACTCCATGTACAAAAATAAAACCTATTGTATCCTTATGCAATGAACCTAAATTAAGTATTGCCATGTATCTTAATCCAGCTGTAAGAGAAACTAGTGGCAGTAACTGTACAGCCCTTCTCCCTCAGAGATAGCAAACCTTGTATTTATTTAGTTCCTTTTAATGTTATTTGTTCTTGTTCAGAAATTAGTTCAGAGCTTAAAGAGAGCTTGAAAAATCACACTCACCTACCAGTGGCCACTTCTCCTCTGAAGTTTCTCTTTGCAGAGTTTCCCTTCTGGAGACGTTACTCTCTCAATTATCACAAATATGTTTTCTGTTAAACTGCTCATGTTTCCAATTAACTTTTGTCATCTATGTCTGTTCGCCTGCCCAGCAGCCTGCTGGGGATTAACGGCTCTTACCTATATTTCCCTGCCCTCTAGCAATAAAGTAAACTGTGTATAGAGCTGCATTTTTTTAATTCAAAAATCAACAGCGGTTGAGAGCGTGCGTTTTCGGCAGCAGCAGCAGCCCTGTGAATTCAGCCCTGTAAATCATGAGCTGCTGCAACCACACAGGGACTGTTTTACTTCACTTTCAGCTGCTCAGCGAAGATACGGCTCTGTTAACCTCCCTCCTCTGATCCAAACCAGGTCTACTAAAGATTTAAAGCACATACGTCTTCCTGACTTAGCGTTGAATCGGGTTGCTAAGAGTATTAGAGACTCCTTAATAATAAACTCGGTCATTTCACGTGGTTACGGACGAAGTGGGATAGCAGGAATTAATGATACTTTTAAAAATATTACTGAAGTCAGAAGATTTCCAGGACTCTGTTATTAACCAATAATCATTATACTGGCCGGTTTTGCTAGTCCTTTTCCTATGGCAAACTACCCACACGGAGATGGAAGGAAGCATGAGCCGGATTACAAACACAGAAAGGAATTGTACTTCTTTTAAGCTAGTGCCAGCCTGCTGACTTGCAAGGCATTACCCCTGTTTTACTCCAGTACAGAAGGAAAATCAAGCCACTGAATGTCCCAAACAGCAATGCCACCTGGTCCTCTAGTTTCTCTGCTCAAGTCTGCTAAATTCAATCCGATGGGTTAAGAAGAACTAAGAAGTGATAGTGTAGGAGTCGAAGTGATAGCGTAGGAGTCGCGGTGACTCCCAGTGCAAGGGAGAGCAGCGCCCGACCATCACGGTGCCCTGCCCGCAGACAGGAGTGAGGAAAGAAGGTCACAACTACTTCAGAAGCTGTTGGAAATGCTGCTCGCTCTGCTTTCAAAAGCTGTGCACCATTGCTTTTGCCTTCATGCCTCTTACCATACACCGCTGCTTTGTTATTACTTTTATTTCCTGAAGTCCTCCTACCCATCAAAATCTACTTCCCATTGCAACGCTGCACCATGCTCCTTTTGTAAACTCGGAACAAGCAAGCCTTTGTCTCAGCCTGCCTTCCACAGAAGACGCCCAAGAAATGTAATGAAAGCTTCACAAAACTCCCAATTGTGCATCTTTCGTAATTAATTTGTGTAGCTTCTTTTAAAAAAAAAACCCCAAAACAATTACCCATCTCCGTATCGGGATACTTCTACAGAAACTGGACACTAAGTCCCTAATCCAAATGCATTCTGGCCTAATTATACTAAAAAAAAATCTCAGCACAAAGCATACCCACGCCCATAAATCATCAGAGTTGTCTGTGTTTCACGAACATGGCTAGGATGAATTTACAACAGGGTCCAGGGATGAACCTAACGTACTAATCAATATGGGCAGGGAACCTTTTACCTCAGAAAAACTGAGTTGCAAGGAGTAACGGGACTGGGACAACATAAGGGTGACAAACTGAAAATTACTGGTAAGGGATCCATCTACAAAGTAGTGCTTATTGCTTTACACACATATAGAGAAGGCAGCATGAAGTGGAGGGAGAGCTGGTTGCACGCTCAGGTACTACAACATACGCAGCAACACAAGCCCAGCTCGGGATGAAACGGCGTTCAGTCGGAGCATGCAGCCAACTGAACAGACTTGGAAAAGAAACGTCTTCTCAAAAAGGATCTTAACAACAGTGTGACAAAAACACAGGCAACGTGCGTATCGGTATGAACAAAGCCATCCTGCATTCACCAGAACTCAGAGCCTACGCAGAGCCCTTGCGTGAGCTGCGACCCGCAGGCTGAGGCACACACCTGAGACAAGAGTTAATCTGACACCAGGCTGTGGTCCACAACCCAGCTGTAAAGCCTGACTCCATCGCAAACACTGAGCTGGCTGTTAACATGCTGCAGATCACCTGTGGGAGCAGAAACCGGAGGCAACCCACATCAAAACAGGCTTCCTACGAGCTCTACAATGTTTTCCTGGAAGTGAATGGAAGGTGTCGGTTCATTTGGGACATCAACTTCATCCTAACAGCCCAAGTGAGTGCTCCAGAACACGGGCTTTTGAGGAAAAGGCTTCACTTGGATCAAGTGAAATGGCTTTTTTATCAAATACCAAAAGCACTTCTCAAAATTTATTTCCCAACAAAATCCAGAACTTTTTCATTTCTCCTTTCTCTAAATGTTTTCAAGAATTTTTTTTTTTTTAATTCTGTTTGGTCACTGACCAAAATACACTTTTTTTGGTTTGTTTGCTTTTAAACACAGCGTTCGCTTTGTCCCCAACTCCCCCACATACACCCTCCTATTTGGAACTTAATTGTGCTTCCGTTGCCAGCGGCGTAGGATGAGTACAATGTAACTCCATTCACAGAGTTGCTCCTCATTTACGACATTCACAGAAATCAGAATTAGGACAACAATACTATATCTGTAACATTAAAAAAATAATAATATATGGGGATGTTAATGCAATTTTCAGAGTCTCTACCTAATATTTTCCAGGAAGGAAATTCTATGGATGTTGAATGCTACACATCCAATATCAATGCAAAATATTTAGAAACTCTTCAATACACATGTTAAGCTCTGGGAAAGGAAAGAAATTTTCTTACACAAGTACAGTGGATTTTGACTCGTACTCAGGTCAAATACAGCGAAACTGGAAATTCAAAGTCCTCGAGTTTTTGTTACATTGCACCATGCAAAGTTAATGCAAGAAATAAAAAGTTCACCGTAAAACACACTCATGAAAAATGGCCTCAGCTTAAGCAAACTTCTGCCTTTTTAAGATTCTCTGTTTCTTTCTTGCAAACAAGTCTGCTGGCTCTTTGACTCCTCAGACCAATCTTGGTAAACGAAAAGGGTTCTGCTGCCAGAATGTAGATTCAAATGCTAGGTTTCCTAATGAAGCAGTAACATCAATACATGGATAACACATCAGCATGCAAAGGGGAAAGTTTTATTCAGCGTAGCATAGGCCCTTCTTTCATGAAAAGGAGAGCAGGTTTCGCGCATTCGATTAATAAGCTTATTATTTCCCATGTGTTCCTTTGTGAGGGAGATATTTTCTTTCTTCAGCAACCTGCATTAACTAAAACTGCCTATAAAAGAAATGTTTTCAAACCCAAGCTACAGTCTACAATAAATAATGATCGCCTTCCTCTTTTCAAAGTCAAATCTTGGCCTGAAATCTATTTTGTTTCTAGCATTCCTGTTAAAAAAGATGTTGGTGGTCTAGTTCCAATGCCAATACGCACTGTAGCATGGGTAAATCTGATTTCAGCTGCTCCTGCAAAGTCTTAACTGCATCTGCAAACCTACCCATTTGTGATGAAAAAAAGAATCTGAAGGCTTATGATTTAATTCTTCCACTGAAGTCTTTGGGAGCTTAGTTATAATAAGGTCAGGAGAAAATATATGCAATTTCCCATCATTTGTCATGTTCACTCTAAGCAAGTGGACTTTGATTTGCTGTAACTGAAAACTTTCAAAAACAATCATTATAAGCATGAAAGGCAACACAAAGACAGAGGATGTTCTCATAGTTACTTCTCCTTAGGAGGGTCAAGAACTTAACAGCATTTTTATTCATTTTAGAATGAACAAGCTGTCATTTTTTATTTCACAGCTATGGGAAAAATAAGAAGTTCTTATGAAGAGAAATATCTTTTAGTCCAGCCCATAGATTAGATAACCAAGTTAAAAGCAAATCCACAACCAAATTCTAATTTAGGAAGTAAAAGCCGATCTGATCTATGACATTATAGTGTCAGAACTGCAGACACCACTGTGGC